GATATTTTGTACCTAAGTTTGCAGAGGCACAGGCCAGAACAATACAAAGGAAAGAGGCGAAGGGTAGTTGTTCTTAGACGAGAGCGGACTGGCTGGGATCAAAGGAAGGAGGGAGGTTTACCTTTATCCTAATCTTTCTGTACCTGCGCGTGAATGACCGATGTTTTAAAAAATCCATTGCGCTATCACTTTAGAATCAAACCTCTACCTTGATATCAGTTGTAAAAATTAGATTATGGATAGCTTTCTTGGTGAAACAAACACAACTGAACGGTATTAAACTAAAAAAAAAATCTTTATAATAAAGTCCTTGAATAGGTTGAACAGAATGTTGAGCTTGGTTACCAGCTGAGTGAAAGGCCTCGGATTGTCTTGCTTGGCTTGGTCAGCTCTTCAAGGTCAGGGTGCGCACAGTGCCTGAAAAGCTGGAAGGCAGGCCCTTGAATAACTCCTTCCTCCTGTGACGCTGCTCAGTAGGTAGGTCATGGGCAGGGACGCCCCCCGGGGAATTCAAGCCCTGGATTGGTGGCCCATAGAGATGCTTTACTCACGGTCCCCTCTAGCCTGGAGAGGTTAGAATAGGGCACTACCCTGTCCGGGTTCTGGGAATTTCTCTACCATGATTGTCCTTTCACTCGTTTGATCTTCGGCTGGGCTGGAACCTCCGTAAAGGAGAAGCACACGCTTGCTTTGCTTAGCATTCAGCACTAGGTGCAGAGTAAATGCTAAAATGTTTGGTCAGCTGAATTGAATGTGGCTTCTGTCATCCCGTCCCTGCCCTTCTTGAAACTTAAAGCTGCATAAATAATTGACCTTCATCTTAATTGTAATGGCCAGTTTATTTTCTTTATAAGAAAATATTCAAATAGTGTAACTAAGTGTTTAAGTTGGTGATAAGACTTTTGAATTAAATGCAATTTAGTTGTCCAATTTCTGTGGTACTAGAGTAATTGGCATGATGTTTATAAAACATTGTATTATCATGTAACATTAGTCATAGTGTGTTAAATCTTTACATTTTGCTGTTTTCTGCCTGATTAATAAAATTAAAACTATTTTTTTTCAATAACGACTCTTGCATTGTAATCAGAACTTCAGCATTGGAACTTATAAAGAAATTGGCTCTATCTCTTATTCTTATAGGGTTGAGACTCTGGCATGATACTTTATAATTATACAATACTCATATAATACCATATACTATACTATATGTAATATATGTTCATAAATGAAATTTAATAATCTCTTGACTAATGTGCTGTTTTATTGCTTTTACAGAGTTAATTTTTTTTTTTTAATACATCTCTATTGATTTCAGAGAGAGGAAGGAAGAGGGAGAGAGATAGAAACATCAATCATAACAGAGAGTCATTGATTGGCTGCCTCCTGCACAGCCCCGACTGGGGACCAAGCCTGCAACCCAGGCCAGGAATCGAACCTCGATCTCCTGGATCCTAGGTCAGTGCTCAACTGGTGAGCCACGCCCAGCCGGGCCAGAGTTAATTTTAATGAAACTGTATGGTCACTACACTTTTGGTGCAATAGGCCTTCACTGCAGTGAACTTTTTCATTAGATATGCATAATAAAAACTTACTAGATTAATCAATGCTTAAAGACAGGGATGTTAGTTTAACATAGGTTTTGTTTTGATCTGTTGTGTGTTTGTTTGGGATTTGGGGGGGGGTGGTGAAAAAATCCACTGCAGTTTAAGTTTAGGGAAAACATAATAAGGTCTAACTTTCTGAAATGGCAGAGAGACTTGAAAGGACAGGATGAATGGGCGAGACTTGCTGAGGGTAGAACTGGTATGATCTGGAAATCTGATGTTACAGATTGGACAGCTCAGGGACCAGGTGCAGACTGCAGAAAAGTTTTGCTTGGCTTGTACAGTGTTTTAAAAATGCTTGAAGTCGTCTGCCAAGTCATTGGTCCCCTACTCCCTTTTGACTTGTTTCCAGCAGCCTCCTTTATTGACTTTACCTGCTTGGCCCTGGTAAGCATTAAGTACCTGGAAAATAGTTACACCATTAAATGAAACATGAAACTTGGGAAGGAAAGAGGGGAAAATGGAGATTTTTAAGGATATATGGAATTTGAAAGGCAGATGAGCCCACTGAGGGTGGAGGCTGGGGATACAGACACAAGCCTGTGCACATAAGGTTGAGGGTTAAGGTTCTGAAGAGCCCAAATACAAGCCAAAGACAAAACTTGGGGCATCACTCATATTTAAGGGCTGAGTCACCAGAACCCCAATGAAGGGAAAGAAGTTGTCATAAAAGAAACAGCCGAGCAAGGCTATGGAGGCCAAGGAAAGAGAGAACTCGGAGGGTAAGGTAGTAAACTGCACCTCGAGTGAAAGGATAAGGGTGGAGGAGAGGAGGGGGCCATCAGGCTTGGTGCTCAGGCTGCTGCTACCATCGGAGCCAGCTCAGCAGGAAAACAGGTAAAATTACAGACGTGAAGAGGGAGCAGATGCAGATTTAGGTGAACACAGCTGCTCTTAAGACGGCGGACAGCAGAGGGAAGGAGCTGGAACATCACTCAGTGATGTGTAGGGTGAGGATCTCAGGATCTGCTATTTTGATTTTTTTTAAGTATATCTTTATTGATTTCAGAGAGAGGAAGGGAGAGGGAGAGAGAGAAACATCAATGATGAGTCATTGATCGGCTGCCTCCTGCATGTCGCCTGCTGGGGATTGAGCCGGCAACCCTGGCATGTGCCCTGACTGAGAATCGAACCGAGATCTCCTGGATCCTAGGTCGATGCTCCACCGCTGAGCCACGCCCGGCCAGGCTCTGCTATTTTGAAAAAGAAAAAGGCTGAAGGAAAGGGAGCAGGATCTCTAGGAGGTAGGAGGGGATGGGCATGAGTGGAAGAGGTAGCTCTGGAAATTTTTTCAAGTATCGAGGAATGTTAAGGGCGTGCTAGTTGAATGGCCTGTGTTAGGTGAGGTCGGCAGTTACAGGCATTCAATTTTGAGCTTTAGGACAGTAGAAAAAGGCCTGTGGCAGCTGGCATGAGTACTGTGGTGCGGGCCATTCAGGGAGGCAGGACGGGCTTGCCAAGCAGCAAGGAGAGCTCCGCTGAGATTAGCAAGCATTAACCAGGGTTCAAACTGCCATGATTTTGTGATTTTATTATGTATTACGAACCTCAGGTTTGCAAAAGGTTCACGGGGCTCATTTTTTAGATGTAATTAGTTATCTTTCTTATAAAAATGACCATTCCACACATATGAATTGCAAGCTCATTAGTGCCACAAGCATGATTTCTCCTGGAGTGCACCTGGTGTTGAACGATCAGTGTTCAGGGGCACAGTCTTGGGATACCGTTCATAGTTTCGAATGTGAAGATATGATTGAGAATTTCACTACAAAATATTTTTTTTATCATCAGGATTATTTCTCCTAAGCAATTGATTTCCTCCCTCTTCTTTGCGCATGTTGCAAATTGTGAAACTGATTAGGATCCTTTTTCAGGTCAGCTAATAGTTGTGGGGGGAAAATTCTGGATTAACGTCGGACTAAGGAATAGAGCTCAGCAGACTACAATACCCTCCCCCCTTTTTTTAAATCCTCACCCAAGGATATGTTTTTATTGATTTTCGATAAGAAAGGGAGAGAGAAACATCAATGTGAGAGAGAAACATCAATCAGTTGCCTCCTGTACCAGGGATCAAACCCGTAGCCTAGGTATGTCTGCCCTGACCAGGAACTGAACCCACAACCAACTGAAACGCCTGGCCAGGGCAGCAGGCTACACTTTTTATTGTCCTCACTTCTGCCTCCAATTTGTGACTTCTCCCTATTCCTCCTTCTCATTTGTTTTTGTCATTACATTTCACATATCCTAGAAACCACTTTAAATCCTTTTTTGGAACAAAATAGAATATATAAGTATTAAACATATAAATACTTAAGGTACTCTAAGCACAATACTACTTGTGGCAATTATTAAATAAAAAGCAATTAGTTACAGGCCACTAGACCCAAAAAAGCTTTCTGAAAATCTTAGAACTCACCATTTAATAATGAATGGTAGTGTATAGAACAGAAAGCTAAATTTGTAACCACAGAGAATCAGCAAAATGAGTGGAAAAATTAAAACTGGGCTAGATCTTGTCCCTGTGCCCTCTTCAGACTGTCATTTAATGTATATCAAATGTCATGTTACATATTATACCACCATAAGGTTATAGATAACACCATAAAAAAAAGAGACTGAGCTAGATGTTTGCCTCAATTTTTTTATTTTTTGAGAGAGAAACATCGATTTATGTGCCACTTACTTATGCATTCATTGGTTGATTCTTATGTGTGCCCTGACCCAGGATCAAACCCGAAACCTTAGCATATGGGATGACACTCTAACCAAATAAGTTACCTGGCCAGGGCTGTCTCAATTTTTTTGTATGAAGAGATGTACCGTAATTATGCCTGAGAAGCTTTAGAAAAAAAGCAACTTGCCCTTTTAAATTATTTTGGATGCTTTCTCTTCAGCTTGACACAATTCAAAATCACTATCTTGTAGTGGCTTAAGAAGGTGGGCTCTGGAGCCAGACAACTGTTTTATATTCCAGTCCACCAGCATGTGTGACCTTGAACAACAAACTTATCTGTTTCCTCACTTGAAAAATACTGCTAACAGAAGCTACCTCATAAGATTTTGAGGACTTAGTAAGTGTATGTAAGGTACTTAGAACAATGTCTATGGCATTTTAAATGCACAAAAAATTAGTAGCTATAATTATTTTGGTTGTACAGTTGGGAAGACTCATGAGCCTCTGGGGGTCCAAGCCAAAATATTGGACCCAAACAAGTCAATCACTAGCTGCATTCCAGAAGCCCAAGCTAACGTGTACCTGAAGACCAAACAGGAGCCTTTCCAAGGAGCACCCTGCTGAGAAACACCTAAGGAAGTCAAACATTCAATTCAAAAAGGTTCTCATTAATGGTACTTTGCACAGGTTTGACACCATAATTCCACACTAATTGGCTCTTACTAGCGCCCTACTGAATTCATTTCTTAAACAAATGTTTATTGAAGGGCTGCTTTATCATTCAATAAGTTTTAAATACCACAGATTAAAACCAACACAAAACCACACTCTTCTCTTTATGGCTTCAAACTGTCATAGTCAAATATTAGCAAAAGTGATCAAAATAGCAAAAAATAATTTAAAGTGTTATACCTGTCGTGAATTTAATGAAAATTACACATAGCCTATCACAATTTTAAGTCTTAAATACTGAAAACATACGCTATGTGACAACGATAAGCAAGCTTTGGGGTCCTATTAGTTGGAGTCCGATCCACCTGGGAGGCATCTGGTGTAAGTGAGGAAAAGAGTAACAACCGCTCAGTCCCACTGGATCGTTCGCTCTTCTTCAGGAAGAATACTCCAGTTGGGCGAGGCCATATCCCGGGCCAGCCAGTTGAAATCGTCAACGTCGTTCCAGTTATTTTTGCTCCTATCTAAACCAGAGCCCTCGAAGTCTCTGTCGATCCCCGGGTAGCTCCAGGTGTAAGGGGCGAACTGGATCCCGCTGCAGTCCTCCACGATGGCCCTGCTGGTCACCTGCAGGAAGATGCGGGTGTCTCTCGTAGTGTGCACCCGGAGCTGTTGGCAGGCCACAGCCAGCACGCACTCACTGCAGTCGTCCAGAAACACGGACGTGGACACCGGGCCGCAGAGCAACGTGCAGTTGCGGGCCTTGCTCAGCCGCAGGGTGTTGGGATTGCCGTACAGTTTGATCGTACAGTTGCTCAGTTCGGTCAAAAGGACGTCTCGCTGGTGCAACTCCTCCGCTCTCTTCTCCAAGACTTGGGACTTCAGGTTGGAGAAGCCGCAGAGCCAGCTGGAGTCCAAGCCTCCCTCCTCATTCAAGGACGGCGGGGAGGCCGAGATGCCTTCGGCCGCCGGGGGAGCAGCAGCCGCATCTACTTCGGTGGCCGCAGCAGCATCCTTCCTCCGGGTCTTGAAAGCGAAACGCTTCTTGGGCTGCAGCTGCTGGCGCCGGTCGGCCAGGGCCGCCTGCAGCTGCGCTAGCGCCTCTTGTCCCTGCCGCACTTCGTAGGCGGCCAGGAAGAAAACGGAGTCGTTGAGAAGTTTCTGCAGCCCCTGGAGCCGAGAGGCCGCCTCCTCCAGCCGTTCGAAGGACTCCCCGCCCTCCAGAAGCTCTTCCACGGCTGCTCGCTCCCGAGCGAAGGCCGCAGTGAAAAAGTCGCTCTTCTCCTCCACCACCTCCTGGTCCTGCCGCTTTTGCTTCCGCCTTTCCACCTCCTGTTGCCTCTCTTGATCTCGTCTCTGAAGCCGCTCAGGCAGCAGGCTCCGTTCCCGCTGGGACACCGAGTCCCCGTTCCCCAGGACAGCAGCAGTGCAATTAGCTGTCTCCATCTTAACTGCAAGCTTCCTTTCTCCTGCCTTCCTTCCTCCGGGCGCGCCCTCCGTGAGGCCTCCCACCAACGCGTCCTTTGATTGGCCAGACAAGATGACGTCAGAAGACCGGCCTTATTTTCTTACCCCATTGGTTCCTCCACATCGGAGGGGCGGGGCCGGCTGACAAAGAGGGTGGAGAAACAAAGGTCCTTGTGGATGGGTGGGGTGGGAGGCAGGCGGGGGAAGCTTTTTTTCTTCTTAAAGGGGCAGGACTTATATCCGGAATTGTGGGGTGAGTTGCAGCAGCGGCAGCTGCACATGTGGGTTTGTTTATAAGAACAAGGTTAGAAACTCGCAGGCCTCCCCCTCCCCCCGAGCTCCTCCCTACCACCCCCTTACGGGCCAGAGATCTGCTACCGGTGGGGGGAATGTGTGCGTGTGGTGGGTAGGGGGGACAGGTAGTGGTGCGAAAGATGGAGGGGGGGTGGAATATTGCACCGCCCGGCCCGCGTCGGAGGAAGCGGCAGCTGGAACAGCTGGCTGGGGAGCCGCTTGCATGCCTCTGGTTTTTTCTTTTCTTGTCCACCACCCCTTCCCCCAACCCATTCCTGCCGCC